GATAGATTTCTATATGTTGCTGATAATATTGATAAACGTGAGAGCGCGAAGTATGATATCGAATAGCATACAGCTAGGTATAACTATCGAACGCTATCGAACACTATCGATAGTACCAAGCATTCTCGCACTTATTCGAATTTATAGGATTTCTGCATAAAGATGATCGATTTGTTTAGTATTCAGCACTGGTTTATTTAATACATTATACTTGTAAACCGAAGGTCAAAACATCGTAGGTAATCGTAACTCAAATTCTTTCTTGGTTTCTAAGTTGTATTCTAATACTTTGTAGATTCAATATTTAACACTTCTTCTTGATTTTTAGTGAAGCCTAAAATAATTTGATTTTTAAAAAATAAAAAGGGTACTATTTATATGACTGCGGCTGTAAATATAAGTATATGAAATTTCACATATAATAGTTATTTACTTATATAATGATTATGATGGCATATTTTAGGGATATATTCATATTACTACTCAATATATTTTTGTAGCTCAAATTAGGTTTCCTTTAGTAGGAGAGAACACTTGATGACACAATTCCAAGCTACCCTCTTTTAATGAAAGCTTAAAAACATTTTGATATTAATTTACTTTAGAAATATTATGATATCCCTCTATAAGCATAGCTATGTTCAAAGGATACACAATTTTTAAATAAATAAAAATTGTAGATGCAAAGATTTTCGAAAAAGAAACATAAAGTACATTACGAGAGCGAAAAGTTATTATAAACGAGGCCATTACTATTCTCGGGAGTGTTCGAGAATTATTGCCAAAGCAAAGATTAAAAAAGAATTACTTTTAGCTTTAATATTTGAGGTAAATAGTCCATAGAATCGACGATTTGCGAGTTCTCTAGGCTATGTTCAGCTCATTTGATAGGAGAAATCAACAACAAAGTTATTGTTATCGAAGTGGAATAAACGCTTATTACACTATCTCTATTTCATTCGTTTGTACAGTCATTAATAGTATAGGAAAATTATAAAAATAATTTTAGATACGAATTGTCTCTACAAAGAGCTTATAATCTGTGATATAAAATAATAATTTCCAGGTCAAATTAAATTTTACTTTGGAAATAGGAGAGGTTATTGTGCTATTTATAAATATCCAAGAATGGAGACCGGAATCATTTTCAATTTTTTTTTTTTTTAATTTCAGTATTGTTTTCAAATTCAAAAGAAATTAACAACAATTTCGGCAACTTTTTTACCAAAAAATTTTGGGCATCCTCTTTATTATTCGAGGTCGTTAGCTTTGGCTAACCAAACAGCTAACAAATGATTGGGGAGCTACTGAACTGTAGCTTCTCCCTGCAATGCAAATAAATGATGAATATGGAGCCAAAGCGGGTACCGGTAGTTTGCGGTGCGGGAGTGATTGTGGGTGTGTTAGACAAGTTCATATTGCTGCTTGACTGATAGACTGTGATGTGGTCGCTGGTTGACTGTCAGCACGCTTACCTAAGGAAAATTGGGTGTGTACGAGCAGCAATAGCAACAAAACCAACAGCAACAATGTGGACTCGTGCAATGCACCGAAAGGGAAACAGCAGCAATAAAGTGAACACCAGTAACAACAACAAACAGTGGTTGAGTATAAAGCGGATGGGCTGGGCGAAACGTGCAACGGCGACAATCAGGTAGGGCAGGCAGGCAGGCAGTCGTTTTGGGCCTCACTCAGCTTTGCTTAGCGCGGCAGACAGTAGAGTTTTTGAACGACACAATCGCATGGGAATGAATTATAAAATTCAATCACATTTTTGAAGGGCTGCTCGCCGGCAAGTTTTGTCAATGTGCAACACAATGTAATTGCATTTGAGCGCCTATGTATGTATGAGGTTATGTGTGCGCACATACATAGCTGTAATTGTATATTTGTGTGCATTACATAATGCTTTTGATGCGTGTAGAATGCAAGGGTTCGCTGTCGTTGGTGGCACCTCAACAGCTGTTGCTAGAAGCAGCCACATATTTAATGCTGCTATATGCGGTTTTATGCTGGAAATTTATTTTGCTTCTCCTGCATTCGTTTATGTACACATGCATTATGCTTTGCCAGTTGTTTGTTTTTTTCTTTGCCGGTTGCCAGCGTTTTGATTGATTTGTTGAAAAAAATTCATAAATGCGTTTTTGTATTTTTTGGGTATTTTATTATTTTATTCTGTGTTTTTTATATTTAATTTTTATTCGCTTTTGTGGTTCTCTTGTGGTTTGCTGTGTCGGGCAAGGTTGATTGCACTCAGCGCACAGGGCTCAGCGCTTGGCTCAATTGAGCAGTTGGCGCAGCGGAAAAAGCGGCGAGGCAACACACACACTCTCACACATATGTATGTCAGTATTTGTATTTAGTCGAAAATGTACCATCAATTGCGCTGCCTGTCTGTTGGACAGGAAATGCAATAAAATAAATGATTTAAATTAACAAACTTATTTTTTAGGGTTTTTAGTTTTCAATGCATTCGGAGCATTGTAAGCCACATAAAACTGTATTAATTGCTTGTAATTCGGAGAACACAGAGTAAAGTCATGTTGTGAGCACATTAAATATTGGGCACTAATTACCAAAAACTTTCCATTAGAATGGGTATAAGGCGTGAGCCTGAGGAAGGGTTGAAGCTCGACACTGAATTTAATTTTTTTATTTTTTTTTGTTTTTTTTTATGATCTCTTCCCTTTGCTATGCTATTTCTTCGGAAAGTAAACAATTTTTTATTAATTTTTTGTACAATTAATTTCAGTAATCCGGCTCTGGAGTATATAAATTACTACTGTAATTACTAATTACTAAATATAAAAAACAAAGAAAAAAAAAACGTTAACTCCGGTTGTACCGAAGCTAAAATACCCTTCACAAATAAAAAATTTTCAATCAAGAAAATCTGATCCGATCTGAAAAATTTCATCAATTGTTGTAACCTTGTCTTGGAAAATTAACCGTCTCAAATTTCGTGAAAATATCACGTCAAATAAAAAAGTTTTCCACACTAGAATTTGATTTTGATCGTTCAGTTTGTATGGTAGCTATATGCCTATAGTTATCGACGGATCCGACAAATGAGCAGCTGCTTGGGAAGAAAAGAAAGTGTGCGAAATTTCAGATCGATATCTCAAAAACAGAGAAAATAGTTCGCGTGTATACACACAGACAGACGGACAGAAGCACATGGCTAAATCGACTCAACTCATATATATATAAATATATACTAATATTGTATATATATTTATTTATTTTATAAACTCTCCGACGTTTCGTGCTGAGTGTTACAAACATCGTGTCAAACTGCATATACCCTGTATAATAATGGGGGTACAATAATAATATTATTGTTTTTGTATTTTCGGTATTGTTGTAATTCAATTCTGAACTGTCTGTTTTATGCTGCTAATTTTGCGATTTTCCCGGCTATAAATACATATATGACTTTTATATAAAAATCCGTCAAATTATTTTTTGAGTACTTGGAAATTTTAAATTTAATTTTTAATCCCGAAATCAGAATTATAAATTGAAAATCAACAGCTAAGAATAAGAATTAGATTCTGAGATTAAACTTTAAATTTTCAATTTCACAGCACAAATTTCGAAAATGTTTGGGATTAAAAATAGGAAATGTAATTTTTAATTAAAAATTTTCTAATCCTAAATACAGCTGGACTAAGGAACTGTTAATGGGTTCGGCGTGGTGAGAAATATTTTACCAAATAAAGGTACTTTTTGTTTAAAAGTCAAGGAAAAATTCGACTTTTTCAAAACCCTTGCCTTACCTTAAGACAAGGTATTTTTTTCAGGTAAAGCAATGCTAGTTATTGTTCTGATTATCTCGGTAGAGGGTCCGTTGCAAAATAATGAGCGAATAGAAGATTAATTCATGGGAAATATGCATTTAACAGAGTTTGCAAGACAAACAAAAAAAAGAACATAGTTGGGGAAAATTTAAACATATTTTAAGGCCAGATAGCGTGGAAATTCCAAAACTGTTTTAATTTACCGAGTAACTTTACAACTGTCAACATAGAGCATACAAAAACACGAAATTACTTGATGCGCAACATTTTCATTAAAATTCAATTTTTTTAGACACACTTCTGGTACTCATTTCCGCTTGTTTGCTTGCACGCTATACTGTATGTATGTACGAGTATCTATGTGCAGGTATGTGTGCGTGTTTTTTTGCTCCAAAAGCGCATTCAACATATCAAATGAGTTAAAATGGCGCATTTCGTACTGTAAGCGGCTATGCACGAACAGCAGCAATAGCTTTGTGTAATGTGAAAAGCTTATGCGCCTATTGATATGCAATGCAATTGCAAATAAAGTCTACAATTCAATAGAAAAGATGAATGCGAGCTGCTTTTCGAATTGCGCTGCAAATGTGTATTAAATTGCAAACTATTGTAGCAAACAAAAGTGTAAACGCATACAAACATATGTAGATGCAACAACAAAACGCACCGCTGCCGCGTGCCGAGAAAACGAAATTCATTTCGCATTTTTCGCAAATGTGTAATGCAGCGCAGCCATTCAAACGTTTCGAAATTACAATAACGGGAATTTTTATTATGTATGTATATACATATGTAAATGTTTATTAAAACTTTATACAGTGAAAATAAATTGCAGAAGTGAGTGCGAATGCTGCCATATTTTATATTTAAGTGGACTTTTATAAAAATATTTGTTCTGAGTTTTTGCGATGATTGCCTTTGTTGAATTTTTTTCTGCATAACTTCCAACGCGGTATTTAGAGATTGAATAAGAAATTCATCACTTTTGCGCTCAACGCTTTGGCAATTTCACCTTTGTCAATATTGACTGCGATGAATTGAAATTTAATGAATTGCAATGCAGATTTTCAGTAAAATGCAACGCATAAAGAATCCCGTGGCAAATTTTAGTGGTAACAAGTGTGCAATGAATATTATTCAATGTGTTGGGAATCATGAAATTTCAAGCAGAATTATAATAGTTTTTGTTCTTGTACTCACATTTTCATGCTTGAAAAAGCAGAGCATTTTCAATTCACGGAAAACTCGTTTCGATGAGACCAGCGACTGAAAGACGTTTGGAAGCTTTTTGAGTGCGACACGCCGTCCATCGCGTGGATCTGTGACTGCCCTGTAAAGAGAAGGTAAAAAAAGAACGAAAAAAATATGTTAATACTTGTAGAAGAAAAATGAATTCAATACATTACGCAAAGAATATTATAAATTTTATTTATGATATTTTCCGAAATTTCTTGAATAATGTTCAAGTAAAAAATTAATTATTCTAAACTATATTTTTTCAATTGCTTTTGATTTAGAAATATCAATTCACAAAACTTATAAACTGTCTTATATTATACTCTTGCTTATTGCAGAGTTAGCCTGATTATTATAATGCAAATAAATGAAAAAAAAACTATATTTTCACGCATTTTAATACAAATCGTTTTATCGCCCAAGCATGTCAACACTTAGTCCAATTTTCCATACAGTTGTTATACGCCTCGGTTGAGATGGCCGTCAGAGTATTCAGCAAATTTAGGTTTTTTTTTTGGCGTCATATTCAAAAACCCACGTCTCATCACCAGTAATGATGCGTTTGATGACTGTAGGGTGCTTAGCTACGTTGTCAAGCATCACTTTTGCGATCTCTACTCGATTTCGTTTTTGCAAAAGATTCAGGTATTTTGTGTATGAGTCTTCATACCCAAAACATTAAAAAAAAATGTGTTAAGTCGATCTATACCGCATGTTGAGATCCTCTCTTATTTCTCTGATACCAACACGACAATTTTCAAGCACTGTTTCTTAACATTTTTCGATGTTATCGTCGCTAACAGAGGCGAATGAAAGACTCGCAGGAGGCAAGTTTTCGATGACCTCACGACCATCACAGAATGCGTAGTGCCAAGTACTTGTGTTCGTGGTAGAGTAGACTCCCCAAAAACTTCTACAACATTTTCAATGATTCCGTAGTCGTGATTCCGTTGGAAAACAAAATTTTAAGCAAACTGGTTGTTTAATATTGTTTTTTATGGTAAAAAATCGCTTGCAAACTAATTAATATATCAAAATCAAACTTCACATGTATATGAAAATTTAGAAAAGAAAGAAACTTTTTATTTGCCGCGGCTTGCGCGATCAGTTTATATAGACCAGTTCGGCTTAAACTTGATCAGATGATATATTTTAGTTTGACGGAAGAATATTTCCAATTTCGTTAAGGGCGCTATTTCCAATAGTCGAATTATTTATCTATACAAATGTTTTGCGGTTTACTTCAACAAATTACTAGAAAAATTCTTTTTCCATTGAATTGTTTAATTTAGGTTGGGCGCTCAAGAGATTGACAAAACAAAAATTGGTTGCTTAAACATCTTCTAAACCAATAGGTTCCTAAAAATATATTTCATTTGCGGATCCAATCTCAAAAACTAATCGTTAGATATATAACAAAAAAATCTCGAAGGAGTGGTTACAATGCTTCGATAGCTTCTTGGATACTCGCTTTAGAAAGCGAGCGCAAAACTCTCATCATATAGCTAATTTGGGGAATATCTTGTGATAATAAAAAAACACAATTTTATTTCTTACAAATCATTTGGCGGCGACTGAACATTGGTTACTGGCCTTTTTATTTTGGCAACAATATTTTGAAACTTATAATATAATATATTTAAATAAAAAAATGTTAGGTTAGTTACATGATATTTAAACCAGAAAAATCGACCGGCATGCAAAAAAAAGGAAGAATTTCAACAATAGTTAAATTGTTTGGTTAGAATTTTTCTTTGTTAGATTTTAACAAACTGTTCGTGATCAACTATCGGGCTTTCTAATAGGCATGATATGATTTCTAAATGTCGTTTAGGCCATTTTTAATATAATAATGTTTGCGACTTCATCGTGGCAAGATATACGCAAGAACAACAAATTATTTAATATTATTATCAAAATAATCGTTCTCCATGGCAACTTTTTGTGCGCTTTTGCCATTTTATGGTCGTTATGGTTGTGGTGAGTGGTGCGGTAAATAAACAAAACTGTTGATTCTGGTCCAAAAATTTGGTGTGGTTTTTGGTCTGGTGGAATCATTGGTCAGTACTTCTTACGAAATGAAGCTGGTGACACTGTTACTGTCAATGGAGAGCGGTATAGATCGATGATAACCAACCAAGTCGGTGCAACGTGCTACACAGCACGTGCATTTACCAAATTATTGCGACAAAAGTTTGGAGATTCGATAATTTCAAGAAATTGTGACATTTAATGACCTCCAAGAAGTTGTGATTTAATACCATTAGACTACTTCTTGTGGGATTTTTTTAAGACATTGCTCTTTAGCAATAAACCAAATTCTCTTCAAGCTTTAGGAGTAATATTAAACGGGCTATTCATGATATACGACTTGATTTAGCAGAAAACATAATCGAAAATTGGGTTCATCGAATTCGTTGCTGCAACAGAATTCGTGGAGGCCATTTAAATGATGTTATTGTATATTCAGAACTTAATTGTATCAACTGTACTTTACAGTAAATAAAAAATATTTACATTTTCTTAACATCTTAATATCACTCTTATTGGAAAACTCTATAATTATAAATATATTTTTTAAAAATTTGCAGATTTTTCACTTTCAAAACTTTTCAAGCGAATGTTTAATTTTGAAAGCAAAATATAAAATTATAAAAAATACGCAGAATTTAAATTATCTATTTTAAGTTTAAATTTCCCATTTGTGTGCTGTTTCCAATTTTGTGCTGCTTAAGCGCCTAAAACTATACAAAGCATATGGTACATATTAACAACTAAAAATCAAGTCAAAGAAGGACACACACACACACACACACACACACACACTATGAGCATACAGTATTTAAATCAAATTATCCAAGCTAAAAAGTTACCGTAAACATTTAGAAAGCCAACAACAAATCAAGTCAACAAAGTCGACTAAAGGAAAAACATTTGCAAAGCCCGTAAATATTGTGAAGTCTCTCCACACACTCATACACACATGTGTATGCACGAGTATTGTGTACGTGTAGGCACGTTAGGCGCTTGCTTGTTGGCCATTTTTTAATTTCTTTTGTTGTTGTCTGCTAGACGACACACAACGTAGATTATTTCTGCTATTTTTCGTTTTTTGTGAACTCACTTTGCTTGGTGTTTCTTTTTGAACTTTAAAACTGTAAACAAAATACTAAAAACATTGTTTACATGGCGCCACAAAAGCACAAAATATCGGAGCACAAAAACAAAAATATGAGGCTTAACGCTGCAACGCGACGCAATTCAAGTCGACTCGACAAAATACAAAACGATGTCTGCACGTTGACCCCTCGCTAACTTCTGCGTCTTGCCAGCAACAAAAGGTAATCACATATACGTGCTGCACACACACATACATTTATACATACGTGCGTACATGAAAGCAAAGTGAAGAAAGTATTAGTATAAGCACATAAGTAGATACATAAATAAAGGCGAGCGCGCGCTGAAGTACAGTGAAAGGACTTGAACAGCGAAGTGGAGTTAAAATGAAACACAACTTGAATGGATACAGTTAGAGAATGGATGCAGTGGATGGGCGCGGCCCGCGGCATACGCAAGTGTTGTCGTCAAAACAAAGACGATTTTAAGGAGGAGTGAGGCACTGACTTAGTCAAGAAGGTAGAAATGGTGGAAGAAGACGCCAAACGTTTAGTTCAACGAACTCAAGATATTCAATGAGTATTGAGAAAGAATAACAAGTAGAAGAAGAAGGAAGAAAATGAAGAAGAAAAAGCAGTAGAATAAGAATATGGATATTTCCGGGGTTTGAAAGCTTCGCAAAAAAAACGAGGGAGAGAGCGAGATGGGAGGGAGAAAAGCAGTTAGCGATAAACGTTAACATGACCGAAATGGTGACTGTAGGACGAACTAGTGAAATATTTTTTTTATAATATATTTATTTTTATGTTTTTTCTCTCCGATCTGGACAATTTATTCGGAGACTGTAGTTCTACCTTTTAACATAATTCATGCCTAGTTTAGAAAGCACATCTTCTCGAATAAAAAAGTTTTCCATACAAGGAGTTGATTTTAGTCGAGCAGTTTGTAGGCAGCTATATGCTATAGTGTTCCAATATCGGCCATTCCGACAAATGGGCAGCTTCTTGGTGAGAAAAGAACGTGTGCGTAATTTCCGACAGATATCTCACAAACTGAGGAACAAGTGCGCGTTTATTAGAGGCTCGATTTAAAACAAAATTATATATATACACGTATATATAATATATATATGCATATTGCGAGAAAAATACATTGTATAGTTCACAAAAGAATTTTTCGCATTCATCATTGATAGAACTAACGAACAGAAACTACCCACAATAACGCGGGAAATTGCAAAGTTGGCACCTAGACACGAAAACAACGAGGCGGCAACAGACGTGACACATAATAACCCCCCTTCGTCTGCTGGTACATATATTTATTATTGTTTTCCATTTATTGTTTTAAGCTTTTTGCATGACATTGTTTCGGATGGAGAGCAGAGCGAGCGGTTCAAGTGTAACATGAGCCGCGGGCAGCGTGTTAAGCCTAAGTGGCGCCAATTCAATTGAATTGGGGAGGTAAAAGCGAATATGCGCATAAATAATAAATTAGATGAGAGGGACAAAGCGAAAACGATGACGCAGATGGGCGGGTAGGGCGTTTGCAGCAATGTTTGTACAGAAAGGAGGTAGTTAGTGGTTGAGCGCTGAAAAGTATGCAATATTAAAAAGGATTATTATAAATATTTACTAAAAGTTCAGATTGTCCGTGGACATATTGATACACAAGAAGTGACATAAATTTTCCTAGAGGCATTATTGCATTATACATATTTTAAAGCGTGTAATGAATTATGTAGATTTGTATGTAGATTCGAAGTAAATTTGAATACGTTGAGCTGAAGTGTTTTGACAACTCCCAGCTGACCGGCATAAGACTTTTAAACACTTCTGCATAATATTTATAATTGGTCTCAGGTCTTTTAGTATCAGACTAATCAACGGTTCTTGCATATAAAAGTACTGTGCCGGCTTGGCGGCCAAGTATGAATCAAGCCAATGTTTGATGCCCTGTTCTCATGTGAAGCGT